CCTTCCTTTACACGTTATATTTAACTAAGATTACTAATCGTTCAAAGTGACGTAAATGCACAATTTTTCTAAACCTTATCGACAACTGGCACCTTACACTATCGGTAGCGGACGTGTTTGTGATTAAACCGTGCGAGGTTATTCCATTTCGATCGTTCGACGTTGTAACGTAGAAACGGTATCTCTGATTACTTTATTTGGAGCTTTGTCGAACGTGATTGGCCCTTCGGAATTTCCGGAAGAGCCATGTTTCCTCCAGGGCGAACCGTACGCGAAACATTCCCCACTAATTAAAAGCATCGAATTCCGAAAACTGACCGTACCCGGATTGTTGGGAGAAAGGGAACAACGGTGCGTCGAAAATGGCGCCTCAACTTCGTACCTGTATGCCTTTGAAGTCACATTTGACCACTGTATTTATATTTATTAAGTTCCTTTCCATCCTACTACCGATATGCATGGAATTGTGAAGTAAATTATATTCATTGTATGTACTATAATATCTCCCACTTGTATTCATACACTACAATGACAATCCGCTATAAATGAAGAGAAAATTTATTTCTTGTGAATTCTTTCCATTTATTTTTATCAAATTTTATTTCCAATTTAAGTCCTTAAATATCACAATCTATGAAAAAATGGACGCACAACTCAATTTTTTCATTCATAGCGAATCGCCATTATAGCTACAATAAAATGTCACTTATAAAATTGAGCGATTATTATCCGACTAATATATACGATACATAATATTATTTAATTATAGACTCTCTTCTAGATATTTATTCGATTCACGTTTCACGAGAAAAACGTATGATAACGATTTTAATGGGCTCTAGTCATTTATTTATATTTATTTATGCAAAGCGGTGCATACGCGCGAGGTAAATTGTTAAAGCGAATGGTCACTGATGCCAACCGTTGTGCTCGAATGGACATTTTCTAGGCGGTCATCCGAGTTAGCAGAGGGTTACAAAGGTCTAGCGTTTAACGCAGGTTTTTCAAACAAAATAAATTGAATTTCCCAATAATCGTACAGGAAAGTATTACAATTACTCGATAACATTTCATTCGCGCCCTAAATCGAATAAAACAACCCATTCGTCTTTGGTTACAAATTTTAATTCATAAATAAATTTAGAATTGAAAATTAAAGAAAATTGGTTCGCGAACTAATCTAAAATTTGTATCAATTGTTCGTGATTAAAATTCCCCCGTAAAAACACTTTTCCAACGTTCCATAAAAATCTTAATGAATCTTCCGCGCAAAGAGAAAATTAATTTAGGCTAATACATCGAGATTCGAGGAGGCCAGATGGAGCGGCACAATACGAACACAGCGATTATAGAAATTTATTAATACACCATGCAAAGGTATTCCTGAAAGGTGAAACTGTATTTCCAGCCACCGTGGCTCAATCGGATTTATCGATTTAACCGGGTCTAATCCCGACGATGATTGAAGCGAGCCTGAGCGTGAAACTTTGCGTCTTTAACACACCACACAACAGGTATCCCCCGTGTGTGAACGCACCGACAGTTCTATTATTATCGTTGCACGTGCCGCTCTATCGACGAATAATCGCCGTGCACGTTCGATAGCCGGCGCATACATAATCGGCTCTAATATGTACATATTTATTTGCTTTTTAACGTCGAACGTACGCGCCATAATTTATACGCCGGCGGTGTGTACGTACGCGCGCGGATGTTGCGGACACGCCGTATAATCCATGATATTGTGCACGATTTCTAAGCGTTTTCCGCGCCCGGTGCCAGACATTACACCGGAGCCGCGCGTTAAACGCGGGCTCAACAAGTCCAGCGAAGCTTGTGCACGTATACAGCTTCGAGCGAAAAGGCAGCGCTCGAGTTCATGATTTTCATGAAACATGTGCCCACGCTGACGGGCGACATCTACTGCGTGTCCGCGAGAAGTCGACCAGTGAAAGGAATGCGCGTCCGATTGGCGCGTTGCGTCCCCACTCTAGAAACTACGCGACGGTGGCGCCATACCGTGGAACTCGGAATAGTCGGAGCAAGCGGGCCCGTGTCCGAATAATTACATTTACATAGTATTTTATTATATTTACCTTGCTCTCGGTGTCTGTCAAACGAACATTTTGAAAGAAATAATTGTAACAGAAAGGAATTATGACGAGAATGGATCTTTATCGTCTGAAAGCTCCTCTTAAGAGCAAGATAAGCATCGTAAATAATAAGTACGAGTATAACTGAAAAGCGGCGTATCAACGAAGCACTCTGAAACGGAGCGTTTTAAAGCAGACACGTCTGCGTAAGAACGGAATCGTTGAATTCTTTACACTTGCGGCTGTTTCCTTTTATTCTACTTACAATTAATTCCAAAGAATATGCTCGGTTGTTCTATTGAAACTTCAAGGTGTCGTTTGTTTTCTTGCTAAGCCACCAGATAAAAGTTTATTAAGGTACTTCGTTACAAATAAACTCTTTTAATCGAAACGATAGTAATGAAACATAAGTATTTATTCCAATAAATTTGTACGTTCTCGAAATCAGTTCATGATTTGTTATTAATACGGTCAGGTGCCAAATTATTAATTACAAAACAAAACAAACGTTATAGAAGCAATTACTAAAATTTTTTTCTCGTAAATACTAATAGGTTTTTCTAAAAATACACGGTATATCCTAAAACCTGAATTTCTTTTATATAAGCGATACCAATGGCATCGTTTATTGAAACAGGGTGGCATTCTGCTTAACGAAGCCTCGCTTATGGCTATGCTCACTCTGATTAATATACAAAGCTGGTGCCAATAACTGTAGTGCCATAAGTGACAGTACCTTTTTGACGCTCGTCGAGAAATTACAATGAAGCAAAAGGCTGAGCCAATGCGTGCTACTTTTTGACTTCGAAACGCATTGATTCGCTTTTCTTGCAAGGAAAACCGTTCGACAGGATACTGAACATTTTCTTTCAAGTTCTACTAGCATTTTAAAACATATATTCCATCGTAAGAAATGTACTTTTAATAATTGTAGTTGTTTTCGAGACAGAGTCTGAACGTGACATCCATTATTCTCAAATTTTAGTTTGATAGATAAAGTTTTTTTTTGAATTAGGAAAGAATATCTATTTTGATATGTAGGATAGCTTTAAAATGGTTAATGCATTGTTTGATAAAGCTTCCTTTTGTGACGACGCTTCCCGCGCTCGCCGATAGATGACTACGCTCAACTTTTCTTTCGCACAAGTGCTCGACCGACCATTGAATATCCCCTCTCCTTTCCTCCTGCTGTCTCACTTACTACTTCTTACAAGTCGCTACACTACATTTGAGAAATATGACTGCTGTTTCTTGCTTAAAAATTTCAGCATTGCATACTTTATCAACCCCCAATAGTGAATGGACCAGGACTACTTTGTACGAGGAAAACGAAAATAAAAAAGAAAACGAGTAAAAAGGATCAAACAATGTTTAAAGGGTTAAAGTGGATCCAGAATAGAAATACTTTCTTTCTATATCTCTAAGAGGTTTCCAGGAGCAAAGGTAAGGTCGAAATTCTTGAGAACTTCTCGGGGAACTGGTTACAGCGACGCGACCAATGGCCCCTAACATCCGGGATGAAATATGGGAACAAAGGCATTCTTAGCTTGCCTCTGCTCCCTTTACCTAATATCGAACGACAAACGACGACATTCGAATGTCATCGAGACTCGGGGCGACTTAAAATAAGATTACAATCGGGGCACGGAAATGGCATGGGACCTTCCCCCCTCTCGTATGGAATGCAGCCAAACAGAGAGAAATTTTATCGAAAAAGAACAACGCGACTCCGTACGAGAAACAAGCCAATACAAAACCTTAACGTAATAACATAAAGTCTGATGTGCATTGTATCGAGTGAGCAAGCCGCTTTCGCTTTTCCTTCAGAATGTCCCGGCACTTCGTTGAATCGCACTTCGGTGGGACGCGTTAAACGCGGGGTTTCCTTAAACAGGAGATTACGACTTGGCTTCTAAGTTCCAAGCTACGGATCGACCAACCGTTTCTCCGCCCCCTCGGTTCCCCCAAGAAAGGTAAAACCGTGTATGTTCGTTTCGTCTTTTAATAGCCAACGGGGGCTGAAACTTAAAATTTTCAGCCGGCGCCATCGCCCCGAATATCGATTATCGTTTCCGATACAGCGCGATAAGATGAATGATAAAACAACCACCACCGGGGAGGGGGGGGTTGGCGGTGGAGTGAAATAAAAAAATAAAAGGTGGCTAAACCAGCGCCCCGGCGGTTTTAACCCTCTCGCGCTGAATCTAAAAAACTCATCCTCTCGAAGTAAATTTGGGTCGAACCGACTTCGATGCTAAATATACGAACGGTAAAACAAACCGCGCGGAGATACAGAAAATAATGCACGAATTATTTCGTAATTTTACTTTCGAGCTTTAACGATACAATAATACTCGTATCGTCGTTTACGTTTGTTTGTGGACAACGTGCTCGTTTATTTTAATTTGGACGAATTGTCAGCAGTTGGGGCACTCGACGAACGACGGTTTTAAATTTCGCGAATTATTTTTCTTAAAAATGTAAGGCTACGTCAATGTGTTTCGCTCTTTTAAGTATTCATTCGCATTACATCTTTGGTTTATCGTGGCACCGTAAGACGTAGGTGTATGCAAATAGATCTAGCATATTCGAGAACAAAACGACCGATCACCGGTTTGTTTTACATTTACACGTGTAATTAACCGTTCGACCGGTCCAATGCATACCACTCTTGTTTTGGTTGCATTATAATTTCTGATTTTCTCCTTATCATACATTTCGAGCGTCAGGGGAACGGTGCAGCATACTCGATAATTGCATTTCTTCGATACAGTTACTCCCACTCGTATTCGTACATTATAATGGTGATTAGAAATGAAAAGAAACTCTTGTTTCTTGTGAATTTTTTCCGATTTATGTTCATCAAATTTTTAGAGGTACAATATAAACGATATATAGTAATAATAATGTCAACAATACGCGGTGTTCCTAAATGGTCACCCATTTTAGTACTAACCGCGCCCAACGTTGCTTAACTTCGGTGATCGGACGAGAACCGGTGTTTTCAACGTGGCATGATCGTTGACAAATTTCATTTTTTATTTATTCAAACACACACCCTTAAGAAGTGAATCATTATAGTGTACGAATACAGTGGGAATACCCCTGGGAAAAATTTTAATGAGTGATTCTAGAGGCCAAAATAAGACTAAAATCAAGAATACCAATTTGTTGATGGAGGCTTCGTTAAAAAGTTATTAACAATTAAATTCAAAAATTTCAAATCGTTCTGGAAAAATTATTATCGGCTGCAGAGGTCAATTACAATAATTTTTGGTGAATAGACATACCCCCGAAATCCTACCCACTTTCTAGAAAAAAATTCGGGAAGGTTGAAATTTTTCGACGAAAAAAAAATATTTCAAATCGTTCTGGAAAAATTATTTTCGGTTGTGGGGGTTAATTACAATAATTTTTGGTGAATAGACATACCCCCGAAATCCTGCGCATTTTCGAGAAAAAAATTCAGTACGGGCAGAACTTTAAACGTTAATAATTTGTTAACAAAGCCTTCATCAACAAATTGGTACTCTTGACTTTCGTCTTATTTTGGCCTCTAGAATCCCCCATTAAAATTTTTCCCAGATCAAACACCCTGTATAAAATACGAGTATTGCATTTTCGATAAACAAAAATATTTAACGCATCAGTGTTTTCTTTTTCTAACAATACCTACTAGAATAATATTACGACAGGGTAATTGCACGCCCAAGTTATATGTCGCGAAGAAGTTATCGCAATTAATGGTATAGCCTCTTGCATGAAACATAATACTGTAAACTTGCCAGTATTTGTAATTGTTTTTAAATACGAGAAAAATTAACGTGACTTGCCCAAGTTTCGTGTTTCCTTGCTATTCTAACGATAAGTATATCTTAGTTTCCATTCTTCGTCCATAATCTAATATACCTGGCTTGAAATAAATAAATCAACAGACGATTTTATGGAAATAATAAATATTGTAACCCACGTTATTAATCCCAGGCGTATTGATAAAATATTTTCTTTTCGCGTTCTACCTTGTCGAAGTATTGATTTAGCGTGCCATACTATAGAATTACCTTTCGATTTACAATATACAGAATTATTACGGTCTGTGGCTACACGTTCTTTCACGGAAAACATCGTCTACGTTTCCCTTATTATCCGCGTTCCGTTCTTCCGTCTTTTCCACAAAATCTACGACTTTCTTATCTCCCTTTGTTATCCCTCTATATTCCATTTTCGAAAATAAAACGAAGAATTTTACATACAATGAGACTTGAGTCCAGTGAACCCAAGTCTATTTCCACGTGTGTGTATCCTTCGTAAAGAGTGACATTTGGGTTCCTACTCCCGCCGGGAAAAGTGTTTATAGTATCAACATTATGGTTGATGCTGTGTCAGCCTCAATATGCTCGAGAAATTGAAATTGCGATAAAGTCTAAGTGAGATTCACGTATACATTTGGTTTAGTAAATTGACATTATGTTTTTAATTTCTCAAGAATTTTACAATATTTACGAAATATTACATTTATTATTTTAAGCTATTTTTTTGCCATTTTATTTCACCAGGCACTTGGCTATTGCTTTTTCAAGCTTTCTTGCCATTTAAAACAAAGTCGTCGAAGATGTCATTTTCAGTTTTCGTATTATTTCAAATGTAAACAATAAAAAATGTCTGGTCCGTTTAATATTAATTATATTTAACAATTAATAATTAAAAATAGCCCCGGATGTTAAAACAGATTCAATTTTTACCGTACTCGTAAGGTTAAGTTTAAAACTCTATAAAATGAAGACAGTAAGTAAACGAGTGTTTCGATACCTTGTTAAAAGTAATGATTATAAACAACACAAGGATGGCAGTAAGAATTGGAGGTTCTGTTAATACCCAGAATGATGTTAATTTACCTAAAAATGAAGCGTGGTGTTCTAAGGTTAATTTGGTGTGAAAAATGACCCAATTTCCGCGAAATGCTTAACGATGACAATTCCGACGCACGAGCGAAGCCGTAAATATGGCACAGATCGGTTACGACAGAACGGCCGCGGAACCACAAGTGGCAGGAAACGCATACAAAAAACGTTCTTGATAACAGCTGATTACGATGAGCTCGCCCAAACGCGACGTTCGTCGCTGGAAACGAATCACACTGCACGCTGACATTTCGATCGCGCCCGTGTATTATTATTACCGCCGCTTCCCGCCAAAAACGACAATTCAACCGCACGAACAGTATTGTTTCTGATCCCGTCGGACGATAGCGAGCGAAATCATTCGCAGCGACGGCCCCCGTCGAATATGGAATTCCTTCTTAACGATATCGCTTCCCACGGGCTAGACGCGGACACGCGAACGCGTTTGCGGATACACGAACAGAGATAAAGAACTTTTAATTATCGGATGACACGTCTAGCAGTCGCCGGGTAAATAACGAAATCGACGAAATTCCCGATACCATCCACGCGCACGATGGAACCGCGGGTTTACGGTACGCACTAAAAATAGCGGTACCCATAAAACTGCTCGGTGAAAATCGCCACGAGACCTCGAGTACGTGGCACATACGAATCCACCAGCGACGTGTATAATCTAAACACCGTGAACCAGTCGAGAATTTTCTGAATTTCCAGCTCGATCGAAGGACCGCCGAAGTCGAGAAGCTATCGGACCAAAAAAGCGTGTCGTCTCGATGGTAACAGTTTCTTTCTCCGAAACCGACACAGTCTGTCGCGAGGACAGCGTATAACGCACACGTAAATCGTGCCACGGCGCGTACGTTGCGCCTAACGCCGCGTACAAGTATTAATCTAATCGTAAGAAACGGTGCGTCGCATGCGAATACTCACGATATACGTGGTCCGAGTGACAGAAGGCTCGTCGTAACCCGTGTCGAGATGGTTCATCTTGGAACGGTTGTTTACGCGACGGCAACACTTGGATAGACGTGAAATCACCACTTTACCACCGGCTCATAATCGTGCATTACTCTCGTACACGGATCTCTCGGTGTACCCGTTGATTTTCACGCATAAAATCGTGCGATCACGCGTGCCTGCGCTCGCGGTCGATCCTTGGAATCCATGACAGGTACGAGCACGGGTACGACCGTGAGCCGCATGCGCCAAAGCAGAAGTTATCACGCTCCGCCACCGAGGAGACAGGCGGCTGATAAGTATAGATGAGAAACTCCGCTCCGAATTTAAATTTCTCTTCTCGAGTCCCCGTGCGAACCGATTTGATCGTACGACCGCGTATGCTTAACGAATCTGATGAACGAAAACTACTTAAGACGCGACGTGTATTCTCGTTGATCGTTGGCTCGATTTGCTTCGTGTCCTGCCAATTAACCGGTAAATCATGAAAATGTTTTTACTATGTGGCAGAAATTATTTTACAATTTATTCTTTCCCGAAAAACGAATAGAAAGTGGTTGCATATTTTAAATAGAAACGAGAGTTAGTTTTAATTAAATACAGTCGTTTTCTATACGAAACGACAATCGAATAACCGACTAGTCGTAGACGTAGGAATAAACGAATTATAAAGTGAAAATTTTGTTACGATAACCAACATCAAACGATCATTGCACATAGACAATGAACAAATTATCAACCACTTAAATCACATATATACTTTATTATGCATATGAATATTAACATAGAGAGACATAATTCTTTCCTTACAGTAAATCAAGACATTCTCTATTAATTTTCATAGTTGACAACAAATGTTTTCAATAACCTAAAAGTTCATTGCGCATATGTTACATTTATCCTCGATGTTCACAGCAATACTTATAGTATTTTTTCTTTTTTTGTCATATTGATACCGAAGAGGTTTGTTTTTCATCTTGAGCAAATAAACGAACGATGTTATCAACATAATGTACGATGACTAAATACAATGTTACACAGATCTTGTACATTCGGAATAAAATCTATATCGTTGTACGAAATTACAAACGCCAACCTTCTTTGAAACGCGATTTCTATTAAAATTCAGATAAAATAAAATGTATAAAACAGTTCTTAAATATAATGCACACGTTACGGTAAAATATAACGCACAATATGAAAAATCAGATGACAAAAAACATTGGCACAAAAAACTTTTCCCTCTTGGTATCCCCATTATTTCGCCTCTTAATCGCTTGCCAACTGATCCGAGTATTTCGGAGAACTGCTCGGTATATGCGTCGCAAAAGAAACAATTTTTAAAAAATCGTATTTATGCATTGAGATTACTCATTTACAATTTATGTAACGAGACGTTAACATCGTGTCTCGTACAGCCCGCTTCGGCCTATATATCGCACCCATTTTATCACGTCGTGATCGGAATAATTTAATTTGGATTCAAATACTTTCAAATAGCGTACTTTAAATCCGGATGGCGCGAACGGTACCTCGAAACTCATCGATATCGGAGGTCGTGTCCATTTTTTCTTGGTGTCAGTTTCAAGTAAATCAATCTCCGCGGACAACTGAGTTTCCTTCATACCAGGCATGCGTTTGATTTTCCATACAATCGCGTTTTCCGACGCTTTGTACTTCGCTTTTCCTTTCAAACAAATCAATTGTACACCCGCGGTGTTCAAAGGCGTCGGTACGCGTACTTCGATCTTTTGTCCCAACAGGGATGGCTTAAAATTTGATTTTAGGACTGCTTTTACTTCCATCTTTGTACGGCCCACCTCGCGCACCAATGGAATGACACGGAATGGCAATGATATATCCTTAGTTGTACGATATCTGTGAAAAATTAACGAAAACTATTCAAAAGTCCAATATCTTAATGAAAGTCAAATTTACAATGTCTATTTTCTTAACATTTGTACCTCATCAACTCGAATTCGCCGTCGGGTGGAATGAAACTAATTGCATGTTCTGTTTCAAATTTACTGAGTTTAACGCATTGATGAAATTGGCAGTCATCGATAACAACAACAGGTTTACCGGATCTAGCACCGGTAGGATCATCTCCCCCACCTCCCAAACCACCGCCACCTTTCATACCTTTAGATTCCATAACAATTTTATCATTGATTCCAAACTTGCATTCTGGCATACCGGACAAATAAGATTTCATCACGACCTATAACAGTAAAAATATAAATTACAATTAGATTATTAATAATCTAATAAATAAATAAAATAAATAATTATTAATTTAAGTAACAACCTTTCCAGCAACATGAGCACTAAGCACTTGGCCTTGAGGGCTCATTAAGAGATTTACAGATTCAAGTACATCCAGGAATAACTCGTTGCGTCTGTACTTAATACCCTCTCGTCTCCATCCAATCTGACCAGTTACTTGGGAAGTTATCTGAGCCTGTTCTTCTTTGGTCGCTGTTTTTACTCCTTGTTGAGTAATGAATGTCTTTAATACTCCAGTATCACAATTCTGTGGATACCCAAAATCCAAAATTTCTGTGCAAAGAATTTCAATTAATCATGAATATTCCAATTCAAATATTGTACTTTATAACTACATAAAGAATAGAATGATATTAACCATCCAATAGTTCATAAATTAATACAAAGTTGTTCTTAATGTTCTCCTCAGAAATCTTGCCAAAGTATGACTGCATAACGTCAATGATTTTTAACAAGAACTCAAACACCATTGCTGCATTGACATTTTGCTTGGTGACAGCAGCTAACCAAATGTTAGCTCGTTTTATATGGAAGAATGAAGTTCTTGCAATGTTGGTAACAGGCGACCGTACTTGCTGCCTGGCATGAATGACATTAACACGAAATGCATCGACCGCAGTTCGTCCAATGTCATCTCTATATACTCTGGAGATGAGTACTTCTCCTTTGTGATTATATACAAATAAACCCCCTATCATCTTGACAGAGGGTACTATTTATTATTTCAACTACAACCAACCTGTAAAAAAAGATTTATTAGTTACACACAATATTGCTAATTTTCAATATTGTAAATTCGTTTGGCTTAATAAATTACAGAAGAAACTTTAAGCACAATTATCAAGGCTTATAATGAAATTTACATTAAATATAAATGTAACTTGTATCAAAACGTAGTCTTATACATCGGTAAAAGTACAAAAAATCAATGAATACAGAAGATGGTTAGATATTGAAACCGTTTAGCATATAACTACATTAAAATCACTTGAGTGACAGCAAGATTAACTTGGAAAATATTGGGAATAAGAAATTCAACTAAGCATTAATATAAAATTTCCTCGTCACGTACTCATTCGGACTGTAAAGTATAAATATACGTATACAAGATAACGCCCCTTTTCTTAAATGACATTTGAGGTTCTCTGATATGTCTTGTAAACGGTTAGTATTATTGATCGAAAATGGAACTGCTTATACCGTAGATGCTGACATTATTACAAGTTCTTAAAAAATTCTAAGATACAACGGCTCGTAAATATTAATTCCAGTATCATAAAAGATCACTTACGCATGACTCTTATTGCTGATAATAAAAATAAGCGATACTAATTTGTATCAACCTCCGAAACGTACGGTAACAGTACCAACCTACTGGTACAAGTGCAACTATCAAATGACGACAGCAACACCCACTTTTCTGTACTACGTGTCTCAGAGACATACCGTTACAATAAATTATTTGTAAAATGATAATTGCCTTACAAAATATATGGCAATTTGTTGTTTCCAAATTTAGATTCAACTTTGAACTATTCCGTTTGGAAATGCATTAGTCATATGTTTATGGGGCAAGTAGGGTTGTTGTGTTGATTTCAAAACCGGTAGTTGTACATATGTACATTTACCTGTATAATCGATATTTAATGAAAATATAACGAAATGAATATTTCGAATCTATAAAACGATTTAACAAATACATCATTTTATAAATTTCTTAAAATAATATTTTATCTGTAATCAAAGCTGTTTCCTCGATATCACAATAAAGATAATAATGATTGGTCGGCCCAATAACACGATAAAGTACTTTTGATAAATTCGAAAATTCGTAATTATCATGTTACTTCATTCTTGACGATTCTCTTCATATAAAATACAAAATCTGATAATGATTTTCCATACAATCGTGTTTTCGATTGTGTGATGTTCGAAAGTCTTACTTGTACAGCTTAAGAAACTGCACGAGCTGTTTGTATCAACGCTTGCGCATTGTCATACTTTCAGATACTTGTGTATCTAGTATTGTAAAATGTGATTTGCACATTAAAATATTGAACATCGCATAGTTATGAGATTTTAATTAAAGTGACAACGTTTGTAATTATGGCAATGACTGATCAAGATGCGAATAATAATAACCTCCCTTTAAGGGAAAATTTAGTAAGTTTTTAACACTCTTAGGTTATATGTATATTTAAAAACCCTTTAACACTTTTCGATATATTGCTAAATTTCGGTAAATTCATAAGAATGAAGTTTTACATTGGACAGTTATATAAAGAATTAGAAATACTATACGTATGAAAATTAACAAGAATTTGTTTTCTTAAAGGTAAAAACTGCTGTGGAATTTTTACAAAATCCTAAGGTAGCTAGTAGTCCTATAGGTCGTAAACAGGAATTTCTTAGAAAAAAGGGTTTGACAGAGGAGGAAATACAAACTGCTTTTAAATTAGCTTCTGTTGATACAACAGCTGATCAAAATGTTATTCGTAAATCAAAAGATTATACTGTAATTCCTATACCACCAGGTCAAGTCTATCCATATTTTCAAACATATCCATATCAAATAACTCATTTTCAAAAAATCAAAGAGTTCTTTAATGCTACCGCTTTAATTGGAGCTACAATATATTGTGTTCATTGGTTTTATAAGGTATTATTAATGTATAAATATAGTATGAAGTTGGTACTTTAATCATATAATAAATTATCTGGTGCCTTTTGTTGTATTACAGAAATTTATTGAACCATTTTTATTTGGCCGAAAGAAAAAAAATACCATTAAAGATTCAGTCTCTGAATTAGATAAAACTATTCAAAATTCTATGAAAGAAGTAAAACAGTCAATTTCAAAAGTAGAAGATGATGTACAAAAGTTAACACAAAACCAATCCATTGATCCAATGGTACCCCAGTTGGTACAAGAACTAAAACAAGATTTAGCTAGTCTTAAATCCTTACTTTTATCAAGGTATAATATATATAATTGCATTTTTATTATAACCACAAATTAAAATATTGTTGGGATACATAATTGATAATTTGATAATAACATTTATTGCTATACAATAATTAATTAATTTGTTTACACATCATTTGCTATTTCATTTTTTAAAATTTATACATTCAGAATAAAATACTTTTTACAAGAATTTATCACCATTCTTTGTACTGACACATATAAACATATATATATGTACTATATATGTATAAATATATATAGTTAAGATTCAATTGTACAAATACACGTAGGTGTAAAAATATCAAAGTAAAGATCTTCTGAAAAGAGAGAATTATAAAATATATGGGTTTAGTTTTGACTGACTACAAATTATGTGCAAAAAAAAACAACAATCCTATATTCAATATTTATATTACTTTGTAATTAGAATATTAGAAAATGTGATAAGAATTATAGTATAAAATTCATGTAATTTCCAGATGTATCATCATTGAACAAAATTTTATTTTTTAACAGAAAGCAATTTCCAAGTGCACCAGCATCTATACCATCATGGCAGTTAGATGTTACTGGTACAAATCAGGAAAAACCTAGTGAAGGAGAAGATGATGCTGGAAGTGGAACTAGTGCTAATAATTCAGATAGTTCTTTGGAAATGATCCGTGAAGATCCACCTAAAGAGTAAAATGAAAATATTTCATAAACATTCACTTCCATCATAACAGTCTTCGATATACAGGATATTCTGTGATGTATATCCAAATATAATGGCGGAAACGGGTGTTTCCAAATCACGTGTAATATATATTGAAAATCGAGTGTTACTAATCTTATGTTCAATTTGTCCAATTAAATTCTATTTTATTTCCCCCGTACTGTAAAATGAAATTACGATTTTTTAGTATTTCTACAAAGGGTATTTAACGTTGTTTATGAAACAAAGGGATATATGTAATACATAGTTTTTTAAATAATAATAATTCTTGTAAATGTGGTGGTTATTACTTTATCTTTTTAACAAAATCCTAAAAATATTAACAAATTTTCTCCTTCAGCTTTTATTATCGGTATTTCACCCACCTCTGCTTTTAAAGGCCTCTCTAATGTACTTCATAATTTTAATATGAATTAAAACAAGAATGAGGTAACAAATACAAATGTTTTTAATGTGTGGCTATATTTTAACAGGTGAGAGAATTACGCTACGTTTAGTATTACCTGTTACCTATTACAACACAAGTGGTCCATTCAAAATATTTAATTATGTATTGAGAAAGGCATAAGAACCAAAAATAAGTACTATCTTTACAAACTAAATATGTACATTTTAATCCATACTTAAATTTAAAGAGACAGTCGCAATACCAAGAACCACATTAAGCCACTGTCCATATTTATACAACAAACCGTAGTTTGCACTGCATATTTGAAATTAAAAAATTATTATTTCTTCGGCATATATACTATATATATAAATATACAGGGTGTTCGGTAACTGGTGGTGCAAGCGAGAAGGGGGTGATTCTACATGAAAAAATAAGTCTAAAATATAGAATAACAATTTTTCATATGAGGTTTTGTTTTCGAGAAAATCGACTTTGAATTTTCGCCGGGTATGCGTGCACTTAACCATGTCTCGTTATAGCGAATCTCGCTATAGATGATTGTCTCAATGGGTATTATTGAAAATTAGAAACACGGAGATCGAATTTTATAAGGACTCACTTAATTTCCTAAAAATGCGATGGTCGCTGCGACCCCTCTGTCTTCGAGACAATGATCTACAGCGAGATCAGTTATAACAAGACATGATCAAGTGCACGCGTACCCGGCGAAAATTCAAAGCAGATTTTCTCGAAAACAAAGCCTCGCATGAAACATTTTTATTCTATATTTGAGACTCATTTTTTCATGTAGAATCACCCCCTTTTCACTTGTACCATCAGTTACCGAACACCCTGTATAACTGCATGTATGTGACAATGAGACATGCAAGCATATTATGTACAGAAAAATTTTACCGAGTGTGGTGTGATCCTGCTCTAACCTATATCTATTACCCATGGCTAAACTTACTTTGGGATAAATTACAATTAGTAATATAAATCCACATGAGCAAATCGTTCGATATACGTCAATAAATAAACAAATGTTCTCAATCATATATAATTTATTTGAGAACAAATTATTATTTCAATCTTGTGCACATGGGCATATTTTTCTATTTTCAAATTTATGATTAAGTAAAACAAATATTTATATACATGTATAAATGTTATGTAAAATTTGCGTTTAATGGCTTAATTACATTGTTCATTCACGTAAACCAATCATTCTTGCAACAAATACATTCCTCATCATAATATGTACAAACCATATAATATTCAATAGTACTTTTGAATGATTAAACGAGCGAACAAAGTATACAGTCACACACGTGACTGTATCCTTTCACTGTTACTTTACTCGTCTATTTTTTGACGTATTAACATCGTACATCGTATTTTAAATAATTCTAATTGTTTCAGAAATTTGATGAAATCAAATATCGCTTCTTTATAGTCTTTAATACTTCTTTTTATTATTAGGTAATCAGGATAGCTGCCTCACTGATACAGTGAGTTACAGCGAAATCCATTCGAAGTGTGACTTAGTATTTTTTTTCATTTTTATACTATACCCTAGATTTAATAATATTATACATAACAGAAATAATTCGTTTAAAAAATATAACATTTTTTTTTTAATCATGTGTGGCAAAAAGTACTTAAACTGTTTAGTATAATATCTTTACTTAGAACAAAATTATTTAGTGTGAAATATATGAGTCTACATTACTTTAAAAACTCGATCTTTGGCAAATACATCTTTTTAATAAAACACACACACGCACACATACATATATGTGTCTGTGCGTGTTATGTATGTATGTATATATTATTGCGCACACATGAACATAACGAAAAATATACCAGGATGTTTTGTGCTGACATAAATAGTTTGGTTGAAGGTCCCACTCCCCTTTAAACTTACTCGTTCTGGTTCCGTTTGTAACGAGCGTAAAAAATGAGGACAGGGTAAAGGGATCATCGTCTTATCATTCAGGCAGCATCCTAATGTCTATTATCCGTAACAATAATAATCCTAGATTAAACACGCTAAACTGTTTTGCAGCTCGGTCTCTAATAAATCTAATGTGTCGATCAATCCAGACTATGCTACCAAGTATGATGTAAATGTAAATTCCTTGAAAGAACGGACCGCACATCTTGTGTGAAACGAAGTGCATCTAAAACTGGAAGTAAGCTCAAGAGAGCAGTATCTCCCGCGTCGCTAAACCATGACTTGATTGGTATCGCGTTATCTGTAATAACAAAAATACCAAATGCACGCGTAAAATAATATGCTGAAAGTATACAAACGATTAATATTTTTTCATTTAAAACTTTTCATTAAAAAGAAATATAAGCTACACAAAATTATATAGCAGTCCGATATAACATCCAAGAAATACAACTTTTGAACAACTTGTTTAAACGTGCATACATTTTTTGGCTTGCTGGAATTTTAAAACTGGTACAAAATTTTTATTTCAACAAATTTAATTTCAATTTATATACAATTTCTTTTTCGATGTTTAAACCAATCAATTAAAGTAATTAATATATTACTCGAATTCGATATGTAAATACTCGTTAATATACAAGAATAAATACAATTAAACCTTAAGAAAATTCAATAGACGGTAGGTACTATGAAACTAGAATTATCTTGGATGCTACAGATGAAAAGCTTTGAATATAAAAATAAAATCTAGTCTTTAAACTGGTACCTGGTACACAGGAATTACTAAAAAAATTACTAAAACGGTAGAAATTATTTTACTGCCAATTCGGCGTAGTATCCAGTGCTTATTCAAGTGGAGGAGCATTGGCAATTGATCGTATTTTACATTTATCCATAGGCCTGTATTCAGTGCTTGCTTACAGAACATCAACGCTGATAGCTGCAAATAGATACGATTTTCCATCAGATTTATCTGAACTTTGTATTTTAGTGTTTGTTTAGCCAGCCAAACTATTGATAAATTTAGTCCTAAGAGCTAAACAACTTGAAACAAAACCATAATAATAAAATATGTTGGTATTTTCTGTATTTAATGAAGTACCGCTTATTTAAAATAATAATAATAATAATAGATATAAGTATGGTGAATATTGATATCAGAAACAAATCTTGTAGATATAAGTTTCGCAATTCCTACTTTGAAAAATTTGTAAAAAGAGAATATCGTAACTAACGAATAATTGAATAGCAGCTGCCGTATAGACGAGATTAACGTGAACCATAACATAAAATGTTACATAAACATTAGTATGCTGAATAAATGCAAAATACAGGATATCTGAATTTTCTGGTACAAAATGTTGTGTGTACATATGTTTATATAAAATACATAAACATCACGAGGTAAATGATATCTGTTCATGAGAATGTTTTCATGAATTCGATTAAGAATTATCTAAACATGATTATGAAATATTTATCTGGTGTTTTTAATTCAGATTGGAATTAGATTATTCCACTACATACAATTGTGCACATGTAAGCAAGTTCTGACTACGGGTCATGATATGCAGTACATGATACAGCAATATTGTTGGAATAATTAATGAAGCATTATAAATATGCAAAATCAATTCATTTATACAAATTTCCATTTTACTGTTGACCAATGCACACAAATTCACACACAATTACTATTGTATCATGTACGTGATAAAAATTAAACGAATTTACAATAGACAGTTCTTTTAGTAGATATTAAAAAATGAAAAAATCATTATGTTAAATCAGACAACTACATCATAATGGCAATATGAAATTCGGATTGTTGCGCTTAAAAGAAATAAATGTATCTACACTTACCTGGATAAGCTCTGTAGGCTCCAGGACTATTATCAAGTATAAAGACTGACGCTAGATCTGGACAAACTGCGGACAGATCTTTAGTATAGGAACCCATTTCTGGGGTACAATGTTGCCTATAATATCTGCGCCTTAGAATACCCCTGTTGTTATCTAACTTATCTGCGACAGCTGCTCCATAGATTTCCATAGAAGCAGTGAACACCACTAGTTCATACCTGGAAAAAATAATATGAAGCACAATCATAACTTGAGCTATTCAACAATTTCAAAATAAATGAGTAAAGTACAGTAGTGCCCGCTTAAGTGTCCGCGGTTATCCCCACTAATTCTTAGAAGCCAAGCGGCTTGGAACATCGAGCGTATCGAGCGTAATTTAAAGCCGGTCGTTATCGATACATTGTATATATGGTTTCGAGTACCAGCTACCTTATCTCACTCGCACTTATCCTCTTTCCTTATCTTTGTTGAATTCTGAGAAGTAACCATGCCCACATAAAAGACCACAGCCGGTCCCGAGCGTGGTCACTTCAGTGGGCACTACTGTACTTTCTGATAATTGTACCCACCATTGACTAACAATATCTAAAAAGAAATCCACATGTGGTCTTTTGTGAACAAAAAATCTGACTGGATGTCTGTCTATTGTCACTTTAAGAACAAAATCTGAAGGTGTACCAGGCCTGACCGTCGGCCTTGCCACTCCGTCATGATGAGAATGAATTAATGTTTCATCTAAATCCAATACTAATACTTTTCTTTTAACTATACCTGGAATGTACTTTGGTTATATGCAAAAAATAATAATTCTATAATTACATGTTAAAAATATTTAAAAATTAATAACACTTACTAAGCCTGTGCCTCGACAATGGTGATAATGGAAAGATCTCATATTTGACAGGTTGCATTTGTGATATCTGAAAAGAAGGAATCAACTGTATTAAGCCATTCGCAAAGCTACATAATTTTATAACACGTAATACACTATGTTTAATTATATGCTTAAAAACAAAGAGAAGCATAGCTTAATTAGGAATAATTTCAAGCAAAATAACTATTTTATTTATTTACATGATAAACAGGTGTTATCGAGTTGCACTGCTTCTGAAAGCATTTGTGCAAACAACGCATATATCATAATATTTGCATCTAACAATAAAAGGATATTGATAAACAGAAATATAAGGCACTCTTTATTGTCATAAAACTGTTAAATAAATGATTACAATTGGTGCATAGCATAAAAATTGAAAGAACAGGACCATAACATTAAGAGAGAGTATTTATAATTGTCAAGTTGAACATTTCAAGGCAGGCAAGAGTACATTATATTATAACAACAAAATTACGATAAATATTCGCCAGGAAAGGGAAAAGTTTGTTGAATCCGGGGAAGAATAAACCAACATGCTCAGCTAGTGAATTGACACAACATTAGGATGCTGTTACGTTACAAAAATCATAAACAAAAAATACAACTAATAGAGGCGCGAAGCGCCTACTTACGGCTCTAACCTGCTTCTTGAGTAGAAAACAGACGCAGGTCCACACACGGGAGGCCATCAGGAGGAAAGCTCTCATCCCCATCTGCAATTGCTTCAGCATCTCTACTGATCTTCTCACCGGGCCAAAGTCCGGCAACACTTTATCTCCAGTCTCGTCTATGCTAAGGAGTCCCTTTTTCCCCTTTACGACACTCCACTTCACGTTGAAGTGTATTATACAAACTTTTTGCGTAAACAAACGTTCTTCACGCGAACCGGGGGCATAGAATCTGAACAGTTACAAGCATATTACGAACCTTCCGCATGCAATAGTGCTCTGCACGTGTAAACAGGCATTTTCATATCTTGTCATGTTGTTGGCAAAATCCACGGCATGAATATTTTCTCACGCACACCACGCAGCAGCCGCCATCTTTCACACATCGACCCAATTTTTCCATGCGCTACGCTAGCGCGCATGATGTTCTGAAAATTCTATTTTATGTGCATGCATAATCGCCGCGGTTTGGTTTTTCATCGGGAGTTCATGAGAATAGGAAAACTTAGGAGCACGATGATAAATCAATCGCAAATGTTGCATAATGGTTCCGGATGAAACTGGTACTGAGAAGTTTATCCGAAAATAAATTCGGAACTTCAGGAAACGTTGGCTTAAGTTTTTGAAAGTATACAGAGCGAGCAAGTGATTGGAAGGTGTATTGTAAAATATGCCGGCACACAATGTGCTATATATATATGTATATATTGCTGACATTAATGGTTACGTTACTTAATTCAATAGTGGAAGAACAATCAATTATGAATTAAAATACTATTCGTTTATTTTTCAGAAAGAGTAACGGCTGTTGCGGATTAGTATAGAAGCATTACATCTATTGTCAGTTTTTATTTTAAGCCATGATTAAAAACTAAACCATACACGCGGTCAATTTTTTCCTGTGAAGATGGCGTAATATCTCATTCGATCATTGTAAGCGTCAAGCGTCCCCTGTATAAGATATGCACACAACATTACTAAAATTCACCAAGGTGTTAGATAATCTATTCTACTGTTTGTAACGATATTAATTGAATGGTAGAAATATTGTTTAATAAACGTTTGAAAATGAAATGTTACTGTGCGAAACGCCTTGAATGCCCTCCCGATTAACGAGACTTACCGTGAAAGTGAAAATTTAAAAATAACTTTCTCCGGGGCCTGTCAACTGCATTTATATACATTTAACGATATACGGTCTGCATTATAATTATGTTGTTGACGTACTGTTAGCTTGCATTTTCAAAATTTCTATCAATTTGATTGGCCGAAACCGTTGGACGACCCTCCTTTCCCATCTTCGCGTCCATTTTCACTTATCCGATTGCTTGTTCCCGAACCAATCGGAAACGGACATTGAAGCAAAAGGAAAGGAAGCGTCGGCATTCTGTGATGATGTTACTAACTCGCAGTTGTAACAAACGGTATCAACCTTAAAATCTAGTATGACGTTTATTATACAAGCAGCTGCTTACGTTATATTAAAATATAGTACTTGTGGCGATCAGCTCGAGCGACACAGTTGAATTTCAACCGACTCGTAAAGCGAACCATTGTTATACTGTACTTTTTGTGTTGTACTACCAAGCTGTAAAGGAATACAATGACGGATCTAACGGAGTTACGAATGAACGTGGCTGCTCTGAAACGCGTAGACCCTTATGTGAAAGATATACTGGAAACTGCGACGCACGTAGCGCTGTACACTTTTAACGCGGTCAACAACGAGTGGGAAAAAACTGACATCGAGGGTGCTTTATTCGTATACTCGCGAAATGGCGAACCCTACAACAGTGTTCTTATTATGAATAGGTAACATATAATTATTATATACACATTTTCACAAAAATGCTCGTATATATTGTCGTATATTTTAAAAGCACTAACTAAACTGAGCTGCAACATATATATTATCCTCATTGATCATTATATCTGTTAAGGTAGTTATGTTCTCAGAAGCATGGTTTGGTTAAATGCTTTGATAATTACTTTGATCTTATTGCAAGAAAATATGCATTTTTAATCCTTTTGTTTGATGCATAACTTTAAGACATAATAATTTGTATTAAGAGTCTTACGATATTTCAAATATTCCAATGTATACCATGTGGCATTTAACAGTTTTTATGGAGGTTAAACTTCATCATCGAAGAATCCTTTGGATAATAGTTAATAAAGATGATTCGACTTGACTGTATAGAATATCATAATAATGTATAAAGAAAACTTTTAATTTCTTATTTTGATAATACTTTACAGATTAAATACAAATAACCTAGTGGAACCAGTTACACAAGGTTTAGACTTACAACTTCAGGAACCCTTTTTACTCTATAGAAACACCAGATACAATATCTATGGTATTTGGTTTTATGATAAATTGGAATGTGTACGTATCGGTGCAATGTTGAACAAACTTGTTAAAGACTCAGAAGAAAATCGCAAGGCGGGCAATAAACCTGCAGTCAGTGTTAAAAAGAATTCTGGACCTAATATAAACAATGTCGATATATTCAGTATGCTCAGTAAAGCCCAAGAAGATTTTAATACTAATAGAAACAACAGTGGCAGCAGAGGAAGTACTAAGGAAGGGCTTGACTCCAAGTCCCCTTTGGTTACTCCTATAACCAAGAATCTATCTGGACCGCTAACTGCTCCATTAGGCCCAGATGTTACTTCACAGAGTGTAATGGACTTTTTTGCAAAGGCTAAAGTTAGTACTTGTATAAGATTGTCTTTGTTACTAGTAAATAATATTACTTAGATGTTAATATATAGGTATTTGCAATATTTCCAGGTTAATACTGGACATTTTAAGGCTGGAGATCAACCTACAGCAGGTTGTACTATTGTGAATGAAAGCAAACCATTACTTGCACGTTTAATGTCACATCCTGCAGCACATACAGTGGAACATATTGAAAAGCAACATAGATCTATAACTCCACAACCAACTACTCAACAGCAGTCTCAAGTGACTCCGACTACTATAATGACGTCAAATAATGCAGGTAGTTCTTCTGCTTTGAACAGATCTAAACGACGGAGCAAGGTAGTTGCTCAACAAGATTCGATGATATCAACACCCGCGTCTATAAACCAAGATGTTCCATCATCAGTAAATCAAAACACTACCGATACAAATGGCACAACAGGATTTCTTAGGATACAGTCCCCGACAAATGCACTATCTTCTAATTCAACGAATCATCAGGCCTCAGATATTATTGGATCTAGTAATTCAAATCCGCTTGCATCTTTGTTCGCTCATGCATCTGCGACAACGGTAAGTAGAAATTTCCATATCGATTAAATCACATAATTTTGTGAGTCGCGCAAGTAAAGGATTTAAAAATTTTTTTTAATCAATCATTAGGCATCAGAAGATATTATCACGGCACCTACTTTATCAGGAAAAGGATCGGCACCAGCGCTAATACCTCCTGTTATGTTCGCTGCACCTAGTCCGCCCGAACCCTTAGCGAGACCATTAGAACCATTGACAAGGAATCAGCTTCTTCAAGCTTTTAACTATTTATTGAGAAGTGATCCAGATTTTATTCACAAACTACATGAAGCTTACGTAAAATCATTTGGCGAAATTCTATCCTAAAACTATCAATTGTTAACCGATGTAACTGAAACCCGTCATGCGGGTTATGACGGTCGACTGATTAAACGATCGAGCAAAACCTAGTATCTCTATGTTACATGTGCATAGATGGTACACAATGTCATGCTTGACTTTCAATTGAACTTGACTGGTAGCCCAAATTTTTGGGGAGGATAAAAATATAGATATAAATGGAGATACATACCTTAAACAGTATTTTTATAAATTAATACATTTTCTCCCGAGAAAAGGATAAGATGAACGTGCATAACAAGGTATGAGCTAAGTGATCATTGTAAAAGAAACGGGACAAGGAATGTGAAAATTGTACGATTTGAAACTGTGATGCCAAAACATTTATATTATACTAACGTTTTATGGTTACTATTCCGAAACAGAGCGATACAAATTTTCTGAGCTGATCAAATGAGAAATGCCTATTTTACAAACTAATGACATACCCCTCCTATATATCGGGTATCGATGTGGTATGTGTATGTAATTGATAAAAGGAGCAAATAAATAGAGTCCGATTACTGAAAAATCGTTTCAATGTATTTTAAGGCGATTTTCGCATCAATTTACCCCTCATGAGTAACACGTGTTGTAAAACAAAATCGCGGTACATATTTAATAATATTACTAATGCACGGTTATGCCATACTATCACAATATAATAATATTTATATGGAATACGATTACTGTATGAGAAGTACATGATGTACCAGGATAATTAATTTTCGGAAGAAGATACCTACACGATTAAAAAAATAAACAAAACAGATATCAGACTTTTATTGATCTTCATCCGTTTTTATCCGCATGGTTTCTCGATGGGGAAAAATGTTCGTTTTTTTGTTGCTGGATTATACGTGCATCCTTCTCAGATTGTATCGTATCGTCAGCTACGATTTCAGGGTTAAATTTCTCGTTTTCGATAATCTAGTGGTTGACAAGATCGTAGAACGCGATTACATTGCAACTTGTGCGCCACCTAATTGAACGGTATTATCTAACACGATAGAAAATACATAATCTATTTACAATACTACAAATAAAGGCGGTATCATGCGTTTCGTTATTTTCATTAACAAGTCATGTACAAAGGTCCTCATTTTTTTTTTTTTTTTTTTCTTTATTTTGGCCCTTTCTCACTCTTTAAATTCATGAGTTTGACGATTACGCGGTGGGTATCGTCGTTCGGAGAGGAATCGCAGCAATCGATGCACAACGCGCAGTGTTATAATTTACAGCAGTCGCTTTTTCACAAAAAATTCACAGCCAAGTGGAGCTATTGTAAGCCCGCTAGCTTTCTACAGATAGTCTTACTAATGTCTATCCGCTAGAACACTTTATCTTTATTAAACGTCTTTGGATCGCGGAAGGTATCTTTTAAACGAGAGGCACTTTCGGTGGTCCCAATAACGGCGGCCCATTATCGGGCATCCGATGAGGCCCGAGTTTATCGCTTTGCGTTGGTACAGGCTGGAGTAATCTAATGGCGAGGCTTGCCAGTATCAATAGAACAATCAGACCGCAAATCGGTACTGCGATCGTGGCAGTCTTGAACCAACCGTCCGTCGTTTGGCCTCCATGATTGACCGGCTGCACCGGACCGAGGAAAGGTCGTTGGTCACCCGCCAACTCTGTAACAATACAGAGTCCTTCATTACGCTGCAGGTTGCTTGGCATAAATTATGCAAAAGGTTTCATTATTCATAAATTCGCACAACCTTCGACTTTCACTATTGTTTTAAATCAACGGTTCGAGACTTCGTAGAAGTCGTAGATAACAACGAACTCGAGCTTCTTTGTAATGTGTAAGGGAATTCGTGGTAATACAGGCATCGCGTGAAATATAGACGCTATTGTTTAAATTCTTCGAATACTACGACAGAGAATTTGTTTATCCTTGTTTTTCTGCTTATCATACATATTGACAATATGTACTGTAATAGTGAAGTGTATAATTGATCGTTGAGGTTATATTTAAGGAAAGAGTTTGTTACTTTCACTATTCCTAAGGAATTACTTATGTTTGTTCCAATATTATTTACAATTATGCGTTTTTTGTGAACAATGTCCATTAAGGGGACTATGAGCACCGGCATATGGGATAATATGGGCATCAATGTTTATTATGTTCAATTGTAATAACACTATTCTTGTACAAATAATAAACCTTCTGTATGTCTGTGTGGGGAATTTAGTACTTACTTTAGTGGTGTGTGACATGAGTCATATTTTTGTGCTGTATGGTAAGTTTTGTTGTAATGCGTAAAGCATGCATATGGTACTTTTGTAGAATGTGTGACAACTGAGGTAAGTGTCAAGGAATACAGTGTTTAGTCCCATTCACTTTTTACGTGTTTCAAATATATAAATAGGTAGTAAGTATGATAGTGTAGTTCAGTTTATGTTATTTTTTCAATGAAATACAATTAAATCTATGCTACCCGTATTACCTCATAGCATGGGATACATGGGATTCATATACATATATAAAAATGTTGATTAAGTTACATGAAATTTCGATTAAAGATAGTTACATGTATTATAACAACAAATATGTTGCACACTCATTATTCTGAAGAATTTTAATCATATTAATCATATTACCCCCAGTTCCCTTGTAGAGAATAAATTCAAGTAATGGAAATATTAGGTCATCCCATAAGTCATGTCGTTCTTATCGTACTTATCGTAAATTTCTCAATATACCTTTCTAGAAATATCCTATCTGTCTGAAACGTATTCGAAATGTCTAGAGTGATATTTTCTATTGGAAAAAAATTCATTTTTGGCATTGCGTGTTGTATGAATTTAAAAAAATCGTCAAAGGTGGATTTCTAAACTTCGAAATAGGATTTTTTGACATCGCGATTCAAATTAATAATAAATAAATTTTTTAACTCAAAATCCCGAACATTCGATGGGATTGGAAAGTACGTGGATTGAAAGATGGGAGGAAGTTGGTGGAAAACGCTAGTTAGTGCATTAATGATTAAAGGTAAGTACTGTAATTATACATTTGAAGGTTAACGTCACAAAACGACACGGCTTGTGGGATAACCTAACAGAACCGAACGAAACCGTTCTCGATCGATTTTGATACGAGAACATTTGAAAGGAAAAAGTTTCTTTCGACGACGAAACGTGTCGGGCAATAAAACGAGGGGAGTGGTTATGAAAATGCCATTCCCGACGTTGCATCCAGTTAAGCCTGTGCAATTTTAATGATCTCGCAACGAGAACGATCATTTAACCTTGAAGAGTCTTGTTGAGCCTGTTTCTCATGGCTGGGCTATCTACGTGGTTGCAGAGATCCTGCTCGCAACAGAGGTATCCCGTGGGACATTGTCGCTCTTTGAAGCTTTCGTCGAGGCAGCCGCTGTACGCGCTGTGTTCCGCTCTCAATAACGACGGATTCGTGCTGGATGGTAGCTCGGTGAAGCAGCCCCTGCCACGACACATGTATCCTTGAGGCACGCATTCCGGTTGATTACAAAAGCACCTCACCTCGCGAACGTTTCGCGAATCTGTGAACAGAAAAGGAAAATGACCGGGGTCAATAAATCACTTTCGATTATACCTCGCCGCTGCTAATCGTTACACGCGAACGACGATTAATAATATTATTTTATACGCTCGTAAGTGGATGTAAAATACAAATGACACAGCAGAAAAACGCTAACGAGGTCGGAGTTTCACGTGCCGGCTTATCGACGAAAGTCCAACAAGGGCATCGCGTTTATAACGCGGGAATGCTCGGCGCCGGTGAAAATAAAAGACGTTTGCAATATTAAATGTCTTATCGGTGCTTTGCATACGCAAGAAGATCAAAGCAACAATATTGGCCGAGGAAGCTATCTCCAATGCTAAGTTCGAAGTCCTCGAAAGGGGGGGGAGAACTTCGCGACTGGGGTCAAAGAACTCTTTTCTCCAAATTGGAATAATACCGAAATCGCGATAAAGTGAAAGAAGACGTTGCTCCGTAGAAGGAAATCTCATTTTTTTTTTGGTCTTTTTTTCTTTATAGTAATAGTCGTCATTGATGATAAAACGGCTCGTGCTGATTAATGATGCAATATCATGGGTGGTCCGTATACCGTGGCAAGTTTCGTCGTATCTACCCGGCACCGTTATACCACCTCGAATATAATAAGACTCTATCATCGAAATTATACGGAGCCGAGGAACAAGCCACTCGTCTCCGCTAATTGATTACAACTCATCTTTATTTATAAATACGCGCCCGATAAGACCATTTCGACGATGCGGAATATAATTTTCGCGAACAGTTCGGCATTTTTGCGCTCCGACGTTCTAAGCGCAACATCGTCGATAGTTGTCGGCCTCCCCTAATGAGTAGCCGTCGGAAAGTCATAAAAGATTATACCCTTCTCGTCGCAACAGGTATACAGGCCTCACTTTCATTTATCTGCCGGTGTACCAAGCCCCTCCTTCGTTTCCCAAACCGACTGGTCTTCTTTCTACACAGCGGTTCGCGCTAAAAATTTTGTTTCTCTATTGTTAATATGCCATTTTCGTCTATAAACACTAACGCAACACTTTCTACAATATAGTCTAACTTTAATAACTAGACTGCGGATCTTTATGCAAATTCATGTTTTCATTAATAGAATTAATAAAATGGGAGCTTTGTAGATGATTGTCTCAACCCTTAAATATAATAATTCGTATCTTACTTTAAGTATTTCTTATATTTTTGCATATTAAGTGCATTCTGTAGTTTCTTGAGAATTAAAATTCCCCATAAATGCATAAACATCCGCAGTCTAGTAATAACTATCTCTATAGTCAGACAAAACATCTTGTTTGACTAAAATTATTAAATAATCATGCCTAATATATCACACTTTATACTATTCTCGCAAAATTGGTTTCCTGGTGGTAGTACGTTCCAGTGAAATACCGTGGCCAGTGTTTTGAGCACCGAGATAGACGGTATTGTCCGTGCAAATGGGACATGGTAATCTCAAACGGCTTGTATTTAATAAACAAAATTTCTGAAAATAAAGACCAAACGCGTGGAAGAGGAATTTGTGTAAAAAGAATCGTTCGAAATATCTCGTTGCTCGGAGGGATTTCGAACGGAGGGTCTGGAAGGAATCCGTCGCGAGAAACAGGCCCGATACACTGAGACCGTGCTTGACGTAGCGTAAATATACAATACACGAAGAGAGTAGAGTTCTCTTTCCGCAGTGTGTTAATGAGAGCCGTACGAAATAAACAAAGAGACATGGAACAGTTCGCGGTGACTAACCATCGTGCCGCTTGTTTATTATGATAATGCGAAGCCATCTTTATCCGTGACTTTACTCTTTCCCCCTTCGTCGTCTTTCGGTCTCTCCGCGTTCGTGCTCTGCCCCGCCCCCCCTCGGTCAACGGAATAATTTATTTTGCTGCACAGGCTACCGCAGATTCAACTGCCAAGAAACTTCGTAACGAAATAATTCGCTTCCACGTTCGGATGCAGCATCGACGTCGTTTTCGTGGCCCCCGAATTACCCTATTTCGAACCATCCCACCACGGAGACTACATCGTTTCCAAAACGAGTAAAATTAGAACAATATCGTTTTATTGTTCAATTTGTGTCTTAAACGTTTGATAGAAAATATTTAGTAAAAATGAACACGAACAAACAGGTATAGACATTCTCGATAGATCGAATAAATATTATCGCAACGTTTTTCAATCCCTGGGACTGTCCCAGTTTTCGTAATTCGCGGTCAGCCGTCCAAGCGTTAAATCACGGAACACGCTCGATCGACACAGAAATTAATAACGGGTTTCGGAGCCAGTCGAACAAAGAACTTTGGTTCTGCGCAGGATTAACCGCAGTACAGTTGTTTATTATGGTAATACGAAGCCATCTTTATCCGCGACTTTGCTCCGTCTGTCTCTCGAACTGTCCCTTCCCCTCCCCCCACCCTATTAAACGACCCTTTCTCCCTCGACAGAACCTTCTTGCATTCCCCTCTTTCTCTTCTGACTTCTTGCTAATAAGCCTGCAGCGCTGGCCTCTCCTTTCCCTACACCCTCGATTTCTTTCTCCTTTTCACTCTGTACGTTGCGCGCAGTCTCTTTCGCTTTGTCTCTGGTCGACGAAGCCCGGCTCATCGAGGAATAAAAAACGCTAAAACAGCCGAGTCACAAAAGAAAGATTAAAGTGGAGAGAATATATGGAGAGAGGCATGCGGCTCTCTCGTTGTGTGCATCGCTGCTGTGCTACTCGCTCGCTCGCCCGACCGACTCTCCCCGGAGCCCCTCGGAGCGAAAGAGAAGCCACAAGAGACTCGTGAGAGGGTTTTAAGGAAAACCTCTCCTCGCTGCTCTACAGATTACGTAAACATCTTGGCGAAGCTACGACCAATGCGAAATCCTTTCGTTTCGTTAAAACGTCTCGATCGTACATACCTATATCGTCGCGAAGACACTGCGACGCGTTCGCGATATCGCATCACTTTCGATACGACACGATACTCTCTCGTATCGGGACTCGAAATTTCTCTAAAAGGAATTTGTCCCGAGTCTACGGTCACGATCGGGAGGGTCCAACGGGGACGATATTCCTCGAAGGAAGAGAGAGACAAAAGAAGCCCGAGAGAAGGGCCTCTCTCGCGTGCGTTTAAAATAAAAAGGGAAAAGGGGAAGCAGCGGGAGGTCGAGAAGGTCCGGGCATAAGAGAGATACGGCCGACATGCTTGGAGCCGAAGAAGACCCGTCCGAAAACAAACAGACTGCTCCGCGGGGTCGTTCGTTATGCGTCCGTGGCATATTAATTATTTCTCGACGGGCTCTCCCTCCACCCATATCGCTCGTATTTCTTTCTTTTACATTTTTTCGTCGGTTGCCGAACGATTACAGGCCCCCGAGATGCACGCGAATCGACATCAAGGCCCATCGATTAGTCGTGTCGTATTATTTTTGTAACGTTAGAATTCCGATCCCGGAAAAGTTAGGTTATCTTCTCGACTATCGTTCGTTCCAAGTAAATACAGAGCTCGTGCAAACAAATGCATTGTCGCGTGGTCGACGTATCGTTACAAATTAACAAACGTGGTTGGAAAAGTATTTTGTCGTCGATTAATGTGGGAAATTACGTCAGAAATGTTAGTGTTACTTCAACCTTAGATTTTGGAACCTCTTCAAAGATACAGATTAAAACCGCATCGCATTACAAGTCTGGATTAGGTTATAGGTTAGGTTAGAATACTTACGATGTACATAGTGTAACGGTCGAAAGATGATGATTTATACATATAAATAGCAATTGACATAAATTCTATTATGCCTGTATCTATTCGACGACTAATCGCTTGCCAATACACTGCTGTCGAAATCACGTGATGTTGTTTGCGCGTATACTTATCTGTTCATTGAATGGAGGTTATGTATATTTTGAAAACTGCTTCGAAATTGTTGGGAAACAGGCGGTACTCGTATCGAAAGCAGAACATTATAAAAATCGTTCTGCTTCCGACGGATCGCCCCGATTCTAATAACGTTATAATGCACTATTTATGCAAATGCACGCGTGTAGCGGATCGACTAGAGACTACCAGGGAACGGTGGAAAAAAAATAGAAGCGGCGATGCCGCTGGCAAAAAGGCAGACAGGCCTGAAACGCTTGACGAACGTTCCCCACCGCGATGGTGTTTTGCGCTCGTAAAGCTGTCCGATTTCTTCGGCCACGATCGGCGAATTCTTCGTGTCGTATCGCATTGATAAAAGGTTTCAGCGACGTTCTCTATGCGGACACGCTTTTCGACGAAGCTTAACCTTTAACTTACTGACGTTAGATATATGTACTTCGCCGAGGCATCGAATGTATCTAACGAGATACACGTGCTGTTACTTGTAGTTCTTAGATAAGCTTGTTTATTTGTTATACTGCGACACAACTTGCGAGGGTTACATTTGACTCCTCGCTCATCCAAGATTAAATATTCATTTATGCAGATGAAGCCTAAGTACTCCTCTCCCGTCCTTCTATCGCTGGCTCTTCTTATAATTACCTAATTAATTGAATCTTTTAAACCGCTCGTTTATTGCGAATGGAACTTAACAGACCGTACCTTGTTAGAATAATAGAGATTATAACTCCGTACCTTAACGCTAAAAAGAAAGGAAATGGGGCAGCACTTGAGATTATTAAAATATAGAAAATATAAACGTTTACATTGCTTTCTATGAACACTAATATAAACTCATCGATAATCACTCGTGGCATAGCCAGACCTAATATCAAACAAAGATATAACGACGCATTCGCGACGCTCGTTCGCGTCGAAACAGATAATCGGTGCTTGGGGCTCGGTAACGAATCGCTAAAAGCATAGTACCGAAGAGGTTATGTTTCGTTTATTCCAACGAGTCGAGCAACATGCCTGAGGATAGAAAGCTGTGCTCGACGGAAACTTGATTTGAACGAGGCCCGTTGTATATGCAATTAGAAGAGCGACGACCCATGTATTCGTACACATCCACGGTATACGCTGTAACCGAACGTAT